AAACCTTGATAAAATCAATATTCCTACAGTTATGCAGAATCCAAAATAGCTCCCAAAGACAGAAAGTATGTTTGTGCAGTTGCTTCGCAAGAAAGGGGGAAGAATATGACCATTTTTGCATCAGTAGGACATATACAACCAGTTTTTATATTCCTCTCGTGCACACGAAAGACAAATTTACAGATAGAGCATCTATTGGCAGCATGAAACTAGCTCATAAATTAGGGTATATGACCATAACCATGAAATTGAAGTTTCAGGCAGTGGCACAAACATGACTTTGGGATAAGAAGATGAAGAGGAAGACGCCGTCAATTAAATCGGTGAGTTCGAAAACCGTACATGTCCAAAATCAGCCTTTCGAGAAAAACAATAAAAATCTATTAATGAGTCACGAATATGTACGGTTTTTCGCCAAATTTTACAGGTGCAATCAGCTGTACTACGTTAATGGATAGGTATCTAGTACGATTTTTAAGCTCAATCGATGAAGGAAGAGACATTAAAAAAAATTGCTTACTTTAAAATATCAAATTTCAAACCTACCGATTCAATTCCATTGTTTAAATAAAAGCCATCAAGTACTACCTTGTTGTAGAAAAAACATTTCAGGAAAATGAGTTTTCTGTGAATTTCCTACGAAAAATTCCAGTTCCCCATGTGTCAGACATATCACAAATAGATCTAAGGGATGTACTATCAATAATGTCTGCACCAACTGCTTCAGTCAGTTACTCAAAGACAGGTAAAAATTTTCCTAGTAATAATACGTCTTTTTTAATTGTGATACCAGCCCGGGGTTTAGAGTGAAGAAAGAAGATACCTTGGTAAAATATTTACCAGCTTAGACTATTAATTTTTCTAATACTATTAGTAGTTTTATATCCTTGTTAAGATTATGGCTTATTTTATAATGTATATTTACAATTTTAAGAAAAAGTATGGAGAAATTCAAGTATCTAAGAAATTCCGTGGCAAAAAGCATTCTTTAATCTAAAACCATAGAGTTAATGCGCCGGTAATACCCATAGGTATTTTTACCCTATCAAAAATTCAAGAAACGTGATCAACATTCAAAATAAAAGCTCCAAGACTATTACATAGTAATTACGATAAAACGCCCGCTTGGAAGCGTCTTATTTGCGAAAAACAATCGGAAAATCCGCTAAAAATAAAAGAGCGAAAGTAAAATTTAGATTGGATCGTGTTGGTGAATAAGAGGATGTCCAATTAAAACAGTGAGACAATTCCATTTCATTGCCAATGTCCACTAGGTATCCTTGATGACTGTAGATTGTCCGGTAAATGACCTTTTACGAAAATCTACGGGGTTCTTAGGTATTAAGGCCGGGGGTCGACCATATATTTAATATAGAAGAAACTAAAAAATAACCTACTAGATAATAAATATATACTAATGTTCAATAAAGATTTTTGGTGACTGCAATTGTAACAGTAACAGTAAAGACAAATTAATTGGGACCTTCGATATCAGATGATGCTTAAGTAGTTTAAACCTTCTCAAATGAGGAGCTAGAAACAGTCCTCAAAAAGAACAAAGCTAAAAAAGGGCATTTCCTGGTAAAATCATGATAGAGACTATCAAGTAAGTAGGGAAAACGGTCCCAAAAACTTTAAATCAGCTCTTAAAAGAATATGAGTTCCCAAAGGAATGAAAGGAGACAAACTAGTTTACAGTCAGAAATCATTAAAGCCACTAGATCAACCATCATCAAATAGGCCCACTTGTATTTTAAATTCGATCAGTATAAGGTCTATTAAGGACTAATTAGGGGCTGAGTTGGCATAAGAAGTCAATCAAGGAGATGATCTGGCTGAAAATCAATTCGGCTTTAGAAAAGGAAGCCAAAAGAAGAAGAAAATGGCTGGCACTGTGGCTTCATGGGAATCATATTGGATGAAGACTTCCGATTCTGACGCCGTGGTGTCAACACTGAAATGGCGGCGTCAGAATCGGCAGTCAGGTGTGAATGTTTCCGTTAAAATCTTCAACAAGAACAGTCATCGCGAAGTGAATATTGTCTGATGTGATCAGTTATTAAGTAGCAAGAACAGTGCATCAAAATTTTTTAATCTGAAAATTACAAATTGTCACATGGTGTGATGTGCATCCTGTGACGAAAAAAAATAAATTTCCTTTAAAATATCCACCTATAACACAGAAAACTCCAATACAATTACACTAGGCCGAATAGCCCTGGCAGCTGAGGCCTATAAAAATTGAATTGAAGAAGAAGATATTGGATGAACTACAAAATGCCGGTTTTTGTAACTCGTCTATTTTGCGAGACATCGCTCCGCTCATCACGCAAATATATTCATTAATAAGGTATTTCGTAGCTGATTACATAAATAGTTATTTGAATATACCCTTTTGGGAATACCTATTAATTGTTGCACGCGTTTCCTTTTAAGAATATAATTTGTGGAAGTAAACAACACAATTTCTGGTAAAACCTATCAATGAAAAAGACACGATAATGTAAAAAATTATATTCCAAGTATTCTTCCTAATTATACTTACCTAATATACCTACCTATTTTAAACAGAATTGCATGATCGTAAATCATCTCAGAGGAATTCAAAATAAACACAATTCACAATTTTATTGTATTACGAGATCCCAATTATATTAACCAATATTTACTAAGCTAATAAAACGTTCAGTCGTAAAAATAAACATTAATTAATAGAACAAATACTCCTTTATTTGAATTCCACACCTAGAGAATTCAAAATACTATTAATATTAGAAGCCGTTATTCCAAAAAATAGACATATACCTAATTTCAGTGTCCAACATACAGGAACGGCTCTATAGATAAATACCGGGTGTCCCAGATTTTTTTGCCCAGCGGATATCTCGGTTATTTAATGATATAAAATTGTAAAAAAAAATATGAATAATATTTGTCTAGTAGCCTTTTAAATTCCACTACATAAAGTTATATTCATCAATCCACCCCATAGGAACAACCCCTAACTTTTTTTTTTCAAATGTCACCCCTATATTTTTTTTCGCTGATATAAATACTCAATTTGTCCCGAATACAACGATATGATTTTTGATATACTTTACAGAGTCATAAAGCCGGTAAAGACTAAAAACCAATGTTGTGGTTAAAGTCATTAATAATTAGTTTACATTTTATCATTTTATTATATTAAAAAATAACAAATCCAATGAATAGGTAAACCTCTTAATATGTTTTTTAAATAATTGAATATTTACAAAAATTGTTCGAAATGGCCCCCATTACTTGCCAAACATGCTTCAAAACGTCGAATGAGTTCACGAGTACATGACGCTGTAATCATTTCTGGTGTAATGTTATTGCAGGCTTGTACTATTTTATTTTGCAAATCTTCTAAATTCAATGGCTGTGTTTCAAATACCACGGTCTTCAGATATCCCCATAAAAAAAAATCTAGAGGCGATAAATCTGGTGAACGCGCAGGCCACCTCAAAGGGCCGCTGTTTCCGATCCACTGATTTTCAAAGCGTTCGTTTAAAAATTGGGTAACTAAATTACTATTATGTGGAGGAGCTCCATCTTGTTGCCACCACATAGCACCTCTTTCTTGTATTGGAATTTCTTCAAGAAGTTCTGGAAGGTCATTTTCAAGAAAGTGTAAGTACCTAGCACCAGTTAACGTACCATGAAAAAAATAGGGACCTATCAGTCGTCCCTGAAATAATCCACACCACACATTTACTCCCCAGATGGTCTGAAAGTTAGTTTCCCTAACCCAGTGAGGGTTTTCAGGAGACCAATAATGCATATTGTGACGATTTACAGTAGCATTATTGTGAAACCTTGATTCGTCACTCCACAATATCTGGTTCAAATGTTGGGATTTCGTTCCATTAAATCTTCAAAATGTGCTATTAATGTTATCCTTCTTTCGAAATCTCCAGCTCTAAGTTCCTGATGCAAATGAATTTTAAACGGATGAAAATTATAGGATTTTAGGATTCTTTGTACTGACGACTTACTAATATGAACCTCGTTAGCTAGGTTTCGCGTCGATATCTGGGGATGTACTTGCACATAAGCTAATACATTAATGCACATTTCTTCAGTTCTTACAGCAGCAGCATGTTGACGATGTTTGTCTTTTCCTGGAAATGACCCTTCTCTCATCCTAGTCTCAACATAAGAATATGTTTTACGTGATGGTTGTCGGCGCTCAGGAAACCTCTGTTGATACAAGTGTACAGCAGCACGAGAATTTTTTTGGCACTCACCAAATATTAAAAGCATATCAACATATTCGTTTGGAGTGAATGTAAAGGGCATTTTGTCTGTTGTTTATAGCTAGCGAACAATTTCAGAAATGGTCTAAGCATATCGTTAGTTAGTTATAGGTAACAAAAAAAAAACAAAAACGAAGCAATTCTAATCAAAATAAAAAGAAAATACCAGGTGATACAAAATTAATGACTTTAACCACAACATTGGTTTTTAGTCTTTACCGGCTTTATGACTCTGTAAAGTATATCAAATATCATATCGTTGCATTCGGGACAAATTGAGTATTTATATCAGCGAAAAAAAATATAGGGGTGACATTTGAAAAAAAAAAGTTAGGGGTTGTTCCTATGGGGTGGATTGATGAATATAACTTTATGTAGTGGAATTTAAAAGGCTACTAGACAAATATTATTCATATTTTTTTTTACAATTTTATATCATTAAATAACCGAGATATCCGCTGGGCAAAAAAATCTGGGACACCCGGTATACCTATACAATGAAACGCTACATACAAACGAGTAAATGTTAGAGTAGCCACTGCTTAAACCGTCGACTCCTTATGCGAGCAACACATTATACCAACTTGTGTAATAAGTGTTGCATATCCATAAACCCAAATAATCAATACTGTACCCGTGAATTAGTGTCGGTGGATACATGAACATGTATACTTTTATTTCCAAAAATTTACAATTTATTTATTATTTGTTAAACATTACCTGTTGCGGATCCTTTACTCGATAATTCCCCAACACTAGCGACGCTGGCGGCCAATTTTCCAACTTGTTCCAATATAGGGGACACAAATGTAGGTGGTCTAATCACTTTTTCATTTAACAAACTTCCTAAACCGCCTTTCTTTTTATTGGGACTTTTTATAGGTTCCATCGTTACCGAAAATTAAAGATAAACTGTTTTTTTATATAAACAGCGCCGGAATAAAGTAGATAGTGTTTATTATTACAACGAAAATAAATTCATAAAATATTCCAGATATACTTAGATCCGCGCTTTGTATCGTTTATAATTGAAATATTCTTTAAGTGGAATGAATGTTAATCACGAAAATCTAAATATAATTATTTACCGCACGGCTTAACACTTTTTTATCACGATCGCACTCCGTTTTACGTTTCATCAATTCTGACTCTGTTGCTTGCCTTGTTTGCTCATTCATATCCAACAAATCATAATAATTTTAGAATAAAATATCCTCTTTCATAAAAAGTAACATTTGCACATAGATTTTAATAAATAACTTCTATTATTTTGAAATATTAGGGATAATAAAATTTTCTTGAAATTCATATTTAAAGACGTGTCTACTACACCAATATCCGTCCCCGTACTTAACATGAAATCAATTTTGTAGTAATATTAAAATTTTGATTTCTAAGTTTGTTACTGTTGTGTAAATAGCATGAGACTTTAAAGAAGAACTCCATAAAAAAGAGATAATATCATAGAAAAAATATTTTTAAGCTTTTAATATTAACTCATTACCTACTATTTACAAGTATTGTATTTTCTGTTAAAATTACTAAATTAGAAAATATGGGTACCTAGGTAAAAAAAACAATAGTAAGATTCTTATGATTAAAAATATTTTATAAATTCTACATGTCAAAGTTTGAGTATGATCAGATAATGTTTTTTTTCATCAGGTGTTGAAATTTGATGCCACTTTCGGTAAATTTTTTCAAAAATATTTGCTTCTAAAACCGGTTCCAGACTCACATCGTGAAAGTCCGTGAAGACACCCCATCGAGAGTATAGATGATTGACGCTCCTATTTACGTATTCAATAGCCGGGCATGAGAGGCATCCTTACGGGCCGAATTATATATTACATTACACATGGCCGAAGCAGCAATCCGCAATGCCGTTCTCGTGCTTGCTCGAAAGGCTCGAACGCACACGAACCATACTCCACAGAGCAATTACCAGACAGACGCAGTCACGTGGTGTCATACATTCTTTATGCATTTTAAGAGCCAGATTTAACCGTTAACAGACCTAAGAGTTTTAAAAAATACTTGTTTAGGCCATATATCATTTTACATAAATAAAATGTATCAAAATCACGTTTAATGTATACTTTAATTTAATAGTGACGATGAATTGACGTCACACTGACGTTGAATTTATGACGTTAAAGAAGAGACGTCATAATCACGTAAATTTTTGTTAACATGACGTAGATGACCAAGAATTATAAAAAAAATGTCATCAAAATGTCCTCAGTCTGCTATACCTGGGCTATGACATTAATCTTTTTTGCTTCCTACACCATTTTTGTTTTTGAAATAACTCCATGACCATGAGCTTTATTGCTGTGTTAACCAGTTCACCATATACTATAGACTCTCAGCTATTTAATCGCGCATTTAAATGACTTTCATTTTTTTTGCTGTGTATAAGTCGTTAAATTAAACATCTTTTTCAAATAACTTTTTTCTAACACTAAAAAAGTACTGCATCGGTGTTTTGTACATTCAACGCTTTACCTTGCAAGGCTATCCTAGTCCCAGAACTTTCATTAATCTGGATTAATGGGCTAGGGATACGGATGATTTGCATCGTGGAAGACTTGTAGGAGAGCCGAAAAACCGTGAAGAGCGTTTATGTTTTAACAGTGAATGGTGAAAACTTTGGACACATTATTTATGTTAGACCATACGGAATACATTTTGGAATTAATTAGTGTAAGTTTCTTATATTTGAGTTTTTTTGAAGTTATTGAAAAAGTTGTTTAGTGTAATGACTATGAAGACTAGACAGAAGGAGGCGAATCGGCAATGGTAAAATTTCTTATTTCCGTCCTTCTTTTTATAAAGTTCGCAAAATTGACTGTAGTTGGCATGTCGAATGACAGCGGTATCAATTTTCTATGTAAGTCAATGTAAAATGAAGTTATTTTTTAAAAAATTGATTAAAAGAATCAGAATAATGTGAAAAAGTATCTGAGTACAAGTAACAAGATTTACGTCGTTCCAGATTGTAAAACAGGATACAAATCAAATGTAAAACTAAAGAAAACACAAGAACAAATCAATTCAATGTCTTTTTAAAGCTTCTAATGTAAGTAAAATAATGTATTCATGTCCAAATATAACATTTATTGTAAACTAGTCACAATATGTATCTTACGAAGTGTAGTTAATTTTATTACAAGTTTCTATAATATAAAATTTTACAGTCATAGATGCTGACTTACAAACAACAATAATTATGCATTAAATTTAACTTACTAGAAAAGAAAATTTATTTTTTATAGAGTTTTAATGTTAGATAAAGAGTTGCTGTTATTTTTTTTTGCCCTTAATTGTGTCATTGTAAATGTTTTTTATAGGATACTAAACGTTTAGAACAGTGACAGCATATATATAGTTCCTATATAGTGCCGATAAAGCACTTTCTGGAGATGATGCTGTTCTATACTTTTTAGAAGATACTCGTATTATCAAATATTATGAGACTATTTTTACTGATGGTACTGTTAGCAAAATAAAAAGGGGAAAGCTGAAAGGATGAGGTAATACCATGTACTTGTATTATAACAATAAAAAATCTGTTAACTATGTTTTATTTTACTCTTAAAACTATATATTGGGTCAATTCAAAAAAAAATTTGCCACAAAATGGTACTTATCAAATTTCAGTATTTAAGAAACCTTTTCGGATTTGGTCATACATACCTAATTTGTATATTATATAGAAAAAATTAAATAATTTATCAATTAAAACATGCAAGACTTCTTTAGAAGTAAATACAACAGTATGTTATGTGCTTTATTTAGTTATAAACAAATTTATTGCTATTATTTTGACAAAATTATGTACAATTCTCATAAGAAGCCATGTATTTTGAACACCGTATGCAGTACCATCTCCCATGGGATTAATTATAGAAGCTCAATTAGCATGCGTTTTTTGGGACCGTATTTTGAGTATACCAATTCATTCGCCTCTTTATCCCTAGTCTTCATAGTAATGACTTCCATGTACAGTTAAAAAAGTATATTAACTCGGGATTCACCCTGTATAAATTATTATAGATTGCATTTTTTTTAATTTTCAATATAGATAGTCATGTTTCGTTTCTAAAGTCAATTCTAGAAAAGAATAACTTAACTATCATTGAAGTTTATTATGCAATTGCTAAAAAGATTTGAGATATTGTAAAAGTGAATAAATTAAACTCTTTAATGATGTTTATAATATGTAAATGTCACTCTAATTGTTGCTAGATATTTCACATATTGTTTTTATGCCCCCCGTATATGGTTACACTCTGTATAAAAAAAGCTGCGGTTATTTGTTTTTAAGACAATTTTATTAAATTTTACTAGGATATTTTTCTTTAGATTGTGTAGAACTGCCTGTGACCGAGCCGTATATTGGTTGAGTAGCTACATCCATAATCAAGTTAAATGTCAACATAACCTCAAACTAACTCGTTTGCCTTGCCATCAGCTGTCAAATGTTGACAATTTTTATCTATGGAGGGGAATGCATGTTTCTCCAACACGAAAATAATTTTTTTATTATGAATAGAAATTTGAATGAGTTAGTGTTGGCAGTAGATGTGTGCTGTGATTCCTGTTTTAATAATGATTCCGTAATTTTCAATAAAACCGGAGTGATGTGCGTATTATAAAAATAAAGTATTCTTTGTGTTACTAAGTTACTTGAATTAAATTATTCGTGTTTTTGCAATTTTTCATTAAATAATTGTTTAATCAACCTTTGAGTTTTACCATTACAAAAAAGTATTTAAACATGGGAAAAAGCGGTAGTGTTAAGGCATATGGCAGGTCAGTGTTTCGAGTGGTTCATGGTGTTTTCGAAATGTTTTTCCATTGGTTGTTTGGATTAGTATATGGAGGAAAACAAAAAACTATGCCCCCTATTTCAGATCTATTGTTGCTAGAATCCGCTACATCTCTAGCACATAAAATAAGGACCAAAAAGGTAATTCTATTTCTGTTACTGGCTATTTAACAATAGGGTCTAGATCTCGGTCTAGATAATTTTTCTATTTCAAGTAGTTTTTTATCGATAAGTATTCCTAATTAAATTGATTTTAAAATTTAATTAAAATCAGGCGCGGAGCGTGGATTTAACTACTTATTTTGATAGCGAAAATTGATTTTTTTATTGGTTTCATTAATTAAATACAGGGTTGCATATGGAAATATAAGCTTTTTTTTTGTAAACATATGTATTTAGGTATTGCAGACATTTTTATGAATAAAAACTATGCTAAAAACACTAGGGACACTTATTTTGATGTGGTGAGAATATATTTACATTTTATGAAACAACCAAAACTCCTGTAATTACTGTATAGCCAGAACCTCATTCAAAACAAGAAAATAACTATAAATTAACAGTTTGTAATCATTCTTTTATTTATTTCTTAAACCCGAATATTTACTTATAATAATAAGTAAGTACTATGTACCTACTTCAGTACCTTCCTAATTTAAATTTAATTACAGTTTTGAAGATCTTCATTATATCATTATTAAACATTTTACCTTAGGTATTGTGGGATAATTACAGAGTCTATCAAGCAATGGGCCAAATAGGAGTTGTACAGTAGTAAGGTACCTATTGATACTACAGGGTTTGATACTTGTAGGTAGGTACTTACATTAAAATTTGTGGGCGCAAAAAATTTATAAATATTTCAAAAAACTTATAGAAAGTAATAGGTACCTAAGTTAGTTTTGTTTTGGCTTTAGTAAATATTAAGTAGGTACTGAATCAAGGGAGACTATAATAACTGTGTCATCCAGAGTGTATTGAATGTTACTTTCCTCTAGGGTAACCAGAAAATTTGAAGAGTTTAATCTGTAATGGTCTGGTGGTGGATTTCTAGGTTCTGGCAAAGATTACTAAGATGAGATACTGCATTCATGCTGTTAAAATTGTCAATGTGATCTGTATTTAATTTTATTTCATGATTTTGTTGTATTAGAAAAGTTGCCATAATGATTATAAAAGAGATATCTCTAGACGGTTCGAATTCGAATACAAATAAGAATCATTTATCTTGAAGATCATTCACTGTTCAATCACAAATAGGAGTCACGAATGAGAGTTATGAATAGGAATCCCAAATCACTTGGTTGAAGTTGCCTGACCGGTATTTAATGTTGAGGGATTGATGTACCTCTGCATTTTGGGGACAAGGAAAAAATAGCTTATTTTTACCTTTAACTTACCATACCATATATTACCTTATTTACCACACAGATAAGTGCAATTGATCTAATCAATAAATTGTTTTAAATTTGAATAATTATGTGCAACCTTATGTGAATTAGAATTTGATACCTACCTTATCTAAAGCATTTTTTAAATATAATTTGTTAGTGGTTAGTGATTTTCTATATTTTTATCACTAATGTAGAGTTAAGTGTATAAGCTTTAAATATAGTGGTGCCCAACTTCTTTTTCAAAGTTATTAGAGCTATTTAAAAACTAACCCACGCCCTATAAATTGAGCTCAAACACATATCAAAGCTATTCATGTTACAAAATGGCGCCCAACTGGGTTAAATAGCTCTTAACTTTGAAATAGTTTCCCTGTAACTTATAACTTATAGTTCTAATTCCCACAGGTTTTTCACAGAGGTTAACTAAACTAACTGCATGTCTTGTATTTTTACTAATACTTTCTTACCTCTTATTTTAACCCTTTCTATACATCTGCATATTGTACTAGGTTCAGTGTTTATTTACCAATATTTTGCTAGTGATATATCTAAATATTCATTCTACACTCCTATTGTGTGACTCAAGAGTCACACAATAGGAGTTTTTCAGAGAAAAATAATCCTTATAATCATAAAGATGATATCACAGAAATGGAGTGGTCAATTAAAGAAGTCATTACAGAAATAGAAAGTTTAACTGGTAATAAATCTGATCCAGCTTTTAAACGAATTAGTTCTAGTATAGTTCACTTGTCTAATAGGGTAGCTAATTTAAAAGTAGAATCTGATGAGTAAGCTAGTACTGTATCTACAGAACAAGTTAGTTGTCTTTCATATGCAAGTGTAGATGTTCATAAATTGGGTTTATACTATGATGGTAGCAATTCGTTGTTTGATTTTTTGGAACATGTTGAAATGTTAAAAATGACTAGAGGTCTTTTAACCTAGCTGTGATCTTTCAAAAGGTGATGTACTATTTTGGTATATGAATAATTGTTCTAAATTCACTGACTGGGATCACCTTGTAGAACAATTAAAATTACATTTCTTACCGTGTGACTATCAACGTAATTAAGATTTAGAGATTCAAAATAGAAAACAACTTTATTCTGAACGTACAACATTATACATTTCTTACATGGAAAAACTTTTTAAAAGATTAAGTATCTTGCCAGATGAATGTAGGAGATTAAATATTAAAAGAAATTATTTCTGTTAGCTTTGCAAGAACCTAAGACTATTGATGAATTATTATCTATTTTATGTAGGAAGCTAGAAGATGCTCAAAGTTTATCTCCAAATTTTAAACATCCCCATGTAAATAATACTGCTGCTCTTGGTAGTAATAATTTTTCAACTAATACTAACCTGTACTGTAGTAAAAATAGTCAATTGAATAAAAGTAGATTAGCTAATGTTACTTGTTATAACTGTGGTAAAGTTGGACATACTTATTCAAAAAAATTTGAATTTGATACCTACCTTATCTAAAGCATTTTGTGAGTATAATTTGTTAGTGGTGTGATTTTCTATATTTTTATCACTAATGTAGAGTTAAGCTTTAAATATAGTGGTGCTTAACTTCTTTTTCAAAGCTATTAGAGTTATTTAAAAACCTAACTGACGCCCTATAAATTGAGCTCAAACACATATATCAAAGTAGGTAAACTAACCAGCTATTCATGTTACAAAAATGGCGCCCAACGTGGGGTAATTAGAATCTATAAAATAATTTTATATGCCAATATATCCTATTCACTTCAGTTAGCTCTATGGCAAAACTGCCAAGTCCCGTGTATGAAGTGGAAAAACTGTGAAAAGGCTGTACAACTTTTATTTTTTATATCCTAATTTTAAACCCCTCTCTGAAGGTAAATTCTTTTTTGTTGGTATTATTATTTTATTAAATAAATAAAACTTAAAATCATAGATTCAAATGTTTATGTTAATTATTTGTAAAATGAAATTTTGTTGTTTTTCTTTAGTGGCTCATAGAAAAATTATACTGCACAACATTAGAAATAATATTACATTTAATAAATATAGTCCTTCAAGTAAAAATTGCACCATTTGAAATTAACAACGCCTACAGAATTGGAAGAAATAGAGATACCGTGCGTCCCATTTTCCTTTCCTTTGCAACGGCTATAAAAAAGCATGAAGTTATGAGAAATGGAAAACATTTAAAAAATTCAGGAATATCTATCTGCGACGACCTCATAGATGAAGATAAAGAAGAAAGAAAAATCCTAGTTGGTGCCTTAAAAGAGGCAAGGGCACAAAATAAAAGTGCAATTATTAGGGGAAGCAAGGTAATAATCGAAGGAAGTGCTTACTCAGCTCAGGAAATATTAGATGGGAATACTAGCGAATCAAATACATCGTCAGTATTTGCCTCACCAGTAGCAAGTGAACCTGCAACACCCACACCAAAAGAAACAGAAACTGAAAATATTATTGAAATTGAGGTTCATCGTCCAAATAATAACAAGAACCAAATTAAAAGTACAACACAAACAAACCCAAATCAAGGAGACAAACTGAAGAATACTCAAAAAGGGAACTGTAAAAGGATCCCAGGAGAAGAAAAAAGGCAAGGAACAAATAAAGAAAAGTGAAAGGCTAGCTCAGAAATCAGTAAGCTAAATCGCTGGCAAATAATAACGGACTAAATAAATATTATATACTCCCGGTATTAACATTTGATATTAAGAGACACTCGATATTTTATTTCACATTTATTATTTTAATATTATTTAATGTGTAGGTGTTGTGTACAATTTTAATAATAGTGTTTTGGGAATATTTTAAGGTCACGTAAGTAGTATAACACATTTTTTACATTTTCTTTCTGGTAGATTTTACAAATAACAAATCTTTAATGGATCCCTACATAAGAGATTTTCAAGTAGAAAAAATAATAACACACTCCTTACAATCAGCGGCGGAAGCATCTGAGGTTTTAAGAATAAACAAAGACAATGGGAATTTTAAAGTTTTACATCAAAATATTTGCAGTGTTGGAAAACATTTTGACGAATTTATAATTTTTATGGAAACCCTAGATGCTCCGTTCGATTGTATTGTATTATCAGAGACTTGGCAAATTCCGGACCCACTAGTTTTCAACATTTCAGGCTACAAAACTTTATATAACCTCGGAAAATACAATCAAAATGATGGCATACTTGTGTTTGTTAGAATATATATAATTTCCATACAACAATTGATCTAAATGGTTCAAAGTTACTAAAATTAAAAATAAATTACGAAAATAAAATATTTTTCATATATTCATTTTATAGATCTCCCGCTAGTGATATGCAAAGTTTCCTAGATCAATTAGATGGAATTATACAGGATGAAAATGAAAACTCCGATTACAATTTTTTTATAGGTGACATAAATATTGATTTATTGGTTGATTCTGAGAATAAAAATACATACCAAAGCATTATGAATGAACATGGGTATTTTTCAACAATTAATACACCTACTAGGATACAAAATAATTCTAAGACCATATTTTTATTAAAACAAAAAATTATAATTTTGATACACTTATTCCAATAACAATACCAACATCATTAACAGATCATCACACAGTTCTATTACAATTAGTTCTTCCTGGAAGAAGCATTAATATACGTAATGAATGTCGCTACTATCAAATTATTGATGATAAAACGCTTATCCAACAAATAAAAAGTGGGAAAATGGGAAAAAATTTTAAATAATAACAGTAAT